CGGCGAAAGGATAACCTCCTCTCCATCGACCCGCTGCCCATCCTTCTCCGCCATCACGTAATCCGTGTCAGTCTTCTTCGATGTAGACCCTCTCGCCGACTTGGTGGCTGCCACCCTTATGGGTGTGGTCGCCATATCCCCCTCAAAGGTTATCTTGATGCTCTGGCTCCTGACCGGCTCCTTTTCTTTACTCGGCTTTACTCTCCTTGCTTCGACATTCTCCTTCATCGAAGGGAACATCGATACATCTCCCAGACCATCTGCCCACTTGAGGTACTTGCGGTCGTCAAGCACGACAAGTCTCTCATCTATTGCCCGTTTGAGGTCCGGGCAATCCCTCTTGATATGATCTTCTCCTCTACAGTAGACGCATGAGTTCCTGGGAGTAGATGGCCTATCGTCTGCGCTTCTAGAGATCGAACTCCTGGCTGCCTTGGGATCAGGCGACTTGGGATATGGTTCTGATGAGACGCCATATCCCCCTCTCTCATTCCGACCGCGCGAATCGTTGCGGCGGTCTCCTCCAGACCCTCCTTGCTCATACCGCCCTCGCGAATCATTCCGACGGTCCCCCGAGTCATATCGCCCTCGTGACTCATCGCGTCGGTCCCCTCGGTTCTACCACCCGCGCGACTCGTCGCGCTGCTCTCTCGCATCTCCCCCGCGCTCAAACCGTCCGCGCGACCCATCTCGTCGTTCGCAGTCCCGATCTCCTCTTTCATACCTACCACCTCTGTAGCCATCTCGACCCGACCTCTCGTATCTGTCGTCCCTATATCCGTCTCGGTCCGATCTCTCGTATCTGTTGTCCCTATATCCATCTCGGTCCGATCTCTCGTATCTGTCGTCCCTATATCCATCTCGGTCCGATCTCTCATATTTGTCGTCCCTATATCCATCTCGGTCCGATCTCTCGTATCTGTCGTCCCTATATCCATCTCGTCGGCCCTGATCTGTCTCCCATCGGCCGCGGGAGTCGCCTCTACCGCGATCGGCCTCATAGCGAGGGCTTCGCGGGTAATCATCCAGCCTCCTTGCTCGCGCAAACGGCTCGCGATCTCTGCGGTCTCGGTCTATCTCATCATCCCTACGTCGCCATGGCTCATCGTCTCTCTCTCTTCCCATCGTACGATAATCAGTCAGCGTCGGAGGATTTCTATCCTCCACACTCCTCCAGGAATCGTTGTTCCTACGGTCCCAGCGAAGTGAATAGGGTCCTCCAGGTTTGTCCCGGTAGGCCGTGGCCCCTGTAGTGGTCACAATCTCTGTAACCTGTCTCGTCAATCCCTTCACCATGTCCCGTATCTCCTTCACTTCCTCAACCACGGCCTCATTCTTCCTAGACCAGGGATAGTCCTTGAAATCAGGACATCTATCAGTGGCATACTCCTTGTAGAGAGAGAAGTCACGTCTCCTCATCCCTCTCNGGAGAACATTTTTTTTTTTTTTTTTTTTTTTTTTTTTGGGGGGGTTGATATCTGACTCGCAGCATACTCTTGTACTGTTTAGACAGAACCTGGCAGGGTGTTTTTAATTTTTATTTTCATTTTTAGTTTTTTTTTGTTGTTGTTGGCAGGGTTGCCGGTGTTCCAGACGGGCCGAATGCCCGAACCCGAACGCCCGAACGTACGGGACCCCTTCGGAATGCGTTCGGCCGTTCGGGCCGAACGTGGACCAAAAAAAAACAAAACAAAAAAAAACAAAAGAGTTTTCAAAAAAATCCGAAAAAAAAAAATGTTATGAAGAAAAATAAACTAAACAACATTTTTTTTTTTATAATTATTATTATTATTATTTTTAAAGGCAGCCAAATATCGTATGATCCAGGCACTCCGGCCTGGTTCATACGACGGCTGCTGCTGAATTATAAAAGCCGGAAAACGGGTCCGGCGTCCCTCACATCATAGAGTAAGCTCAACAAAACGAACACAAAGAAGTATGCCGAAACCCTAAGTACACAACACTAGAAA